TCAAAATGTGCCAAGCATTGTATCACCCAGTGAGAATGCTTGTTTGGGAGGAAAATAAGGACAAAATACGAAATGATGCTTCCTAAACTACCCGCAAACGATAGTTGTAATTCAAAAGCCACAACCAAAATGTGGATTCAATATTGGCGACAAAGTGTATGCAAAATCTTCAGAACGCGTCGTCAAACATGGACTCCAGGAACTGTAACAGGAAAACAAGGACAAGTTGTGTACGAACTGCAAGTAGGAACAGAACAGTACATCAGACACGCAAATCAGTTACGAAGAAAGTACAATCCAAATGAGCGCGAAGATATAAATCCTGATGATCATACATGCCAGTGGTTAGACGATGTTCCAACACACCGTACAACCACAATACGCACAAACGCAAACGTTGGATTTGGTTACGCAAAGAAATAGTCAGCTGCCAGTATCTCGATATCCTCACCAAAACAGACGTTTCACTCAGCCACTCCAGGTAAACCCACGAGGCTGGAGGACTTACAGGGGGAGGTATTACCGATGCCAATGGTCGGCAGGTGAACAAACAGTGTCGTTGAACTTTACCTAATGATGTTATGATTGTCTCTCTTGTCATGTGATTTATTGCTTGACGCATTCATTCAAACATACACGGATCTGACGGTCAGACGGTCTTTGTTCTTCCTCTCGCTCTGGGCGATCGCGGAACGTAACAACCTCGTGGCCGTCGGAAACCATATCGTACCTGGGGAAAGCTTCCGATGCTATCTATGTATCACATCAGTCTGGATCAATTGTAGGAGGTAAATTATGGTGGACGTACTCATGGAGAAACTCGAGAGTACTATCCTACTAGACACTATACACAAGTTTAGTGTGTATTGTCCATACGTGGATGATATAATTTTCACAACAAACCAATCAATCAACGTTGAGTCTGTGCTGGAGACACTCAACGCAAGCCATAACTTCATCAAATTCATTATCGAGAAAGAGAACAACAATCGAATCCCTTTCCTGCATGTTCTACTAATACGAAACCCAGATGAAACTATCCACAGAAGAGTACGAATAAAATCAACATGGACAGACAATATGTGAATTTCAATAGCTTTGTGCCATTTAAACAAAAGAGAAATTTGGTGTGATGCCTGTCCATGAAGGCACGGAAAATTTGCCGTGGCCAAATAACTGAAACACATCAAAAACTTCCTTCGCGGGAACGGTTATCCGGATAAGTTCATAGATAAACTTAGTTTGATGCGATTAAAACCCGATCGACGAACCCAAATAACCGTATACAATCATGATAGTCGGTTGCTGAATTTATCGAAAAACAGTTTGTCTCGCCTACCGGACTTTGTTTTCCATTGTAGGCAGCCCGAGATTAGAAACTGACTGTGGATGAAATGCTCACCATTCCTGTTTTGACCCCAAACTTGTGAGTCTAGCAAGACCGTTTCCGTTGATCTCACTACTCTGGTTGTGGTGGTTGGGTCACCAACTTAGGACCTGAGGCTCCCGGGTTCGAAACCCTCCACCGACGCCCGTTTTCCCTATTTCTGTATTTTACCAGGCAGCCTTTGTATTACCGCGAATCCCCCTTTCGGATTGTTGTTGACTGTCCATTTGTATATTCAATACATAAAAAAGGAAGTAAAAAGACATTCATTTCATATTTTCCTAAAGTGTGAAGTCCAAGACGGAACGCGGCTCACTTGTAAAAAAAGCCACTTCACCTAAAATGAAAACTATCCATTCACACACATTAAGCCCCTAAAAATGACTGTGACTCACTGGCTTTGGTTTTTCTAAACACGAGAATAAATACGAATCATTGAATCGTTACAGTACATTACTCTGAGTGGAAGTTATGAATAGAGGCTGTAATGTGTGAATCATAAATAGCCTATTAAATTTTGATACTAAATTGAACTCATTATTCCAGTTGAGAAGTAAACTGAATAGCCGGCAAACAAATATCTCCAAAGGCCCAGATACAAAGCAAGTCAGTCAGTATTTACCGTGCAATAATCACTCGACTTGTCCTAGTGGCAACATAAAATGCATGCTTTTGAATAATATGGTCTAGACAATACCGCAGACGTAGTAAGCACCGGATTCGTTCTGCTGCACAAACGGGTAAGGAAAACTCAACAGAAATTCTTCATGCAGTGTATTCGAACATAAAATAGATAGGGTAAAGTCCTGGAAGTAAAGAACTAAATTGAAGAGCATGAAATCCTGATGCGCTTCGGGATTGAGCAGATAAATTCAAAGTGACATGTAATCCAAAGCAGACTGACCACAGTACAGACGATCAGCAGCACTATCTTGATCTCAGAAACCACAACTGAAAGTCAGAACTAAATTCTGCAAATGCATTTTGATCGACAAATGCAACAAACAGACTGTTGTCATTGTTTCGAATGCAGAACACACACCAGCCCGGAGAGGGGGGCTTGAATTACGGATAAATGACATTTTGAACACAGTTTATCCCGAGGTTATGTAAACCTAATCCAGGGTGTGTATTCGATAGAAAAACACGTTCTCCCGTTTCCCCCGTAACTATTCCTATCACTGTGCAGAGAAGTGAGCAATTGCAGATGGAATGCGCCGTCGGATCTAGCAGCTGGGGTACATTTGAGCCTTGGAATTAACTGAAGATCCCAGCTGGGCAAAATTATGGACGCTTGGTTGGCGCTAGTCGTTTTCTGTATTGTGGAACTAAATTGTCCCGTTGGTGTAGCCCATATAAACTCGAAAAATGAGAACAATTGAAACGTTGCGGTTCCTCCCCCCCTCCCCAATTGATTGTCCAATGGTTTCAATCAACCGAACTTTAAGGAATCGATGAAATCCAAAAATTATGTGCACTGTTTCATATGGGTACTTATTTGTCACTTGAGATGTTGCTAATCGAAATTGAAGGACAGAAAACCAACATCAAACCTAACCTAACGGAGCCTTATATAGTTCTCCACTCCCGGTCTCCATTACTGAACAGCAGATCCTTGTGACTGTGAGGTTAGCTCCGTCTGCCATTCAGCACAATAAGACGTATAAGAAAACCAAAAATACGCGATAAAACACATCGACCTAGCTGAGGACTGAACTCGAGGCCTCACAGATAGAACGCAAGCATCCATAACGGTACGTGAACGATTGAAACTGTGTGATATTCCTCATTTCGAACTGTTCGATCAATCCATTTAGTTATGTGAACTATCAACAACAGTGTGCTGGTAATCGTTTCTCCCAAAAAGACGTTGACGTTGGCGTTACAGTCCAGCTATGTATGGTTCGACCCTCAGGTAGGTCGATGAATCCACACTCCTGATGAAACTGAATAATATCGAAACAATTGTCCGGTGCTTCATCTAATTACGACGAAATGTCTTATGAGACATTTTGAATGGTGCAGACGTCACTATGTCAATCGTGTTGATGTAATCATGTGTTTACCTAAAAATGCACCCTCCTTTCATGTAAACGTAAAATCTGAGAATATTTCATGCCTCTCACCCCTCGGTGGGATTTAAACCCACCATTACGAAATAGTGAAGCACACTCTACCAGTTGAGCTCCAAGTCCAAAAAGCTGACGCTGAAATTTTCCCAATAAATTTTTAACACTTGGCAACCACGGCAGTAATATTTTATCCTGAGTGCTTGCATCTCACCGAACCTTTTAGGGTTCATGGCTTTTCGTTTGCTTTGCCTTGTGGGTTTTACTTCAACCCCGAACCACCACAGAAGGGACCTGTCTGCCTCGTGTTTCCTTGCCACCCTCCGTGTCTCACGTCCCCACTGCCATTCCCCGCCATCGTTCGTCTCCCGCTGCGAGAATACGAGCCGAGGGACATCCTGTAGCGTATCTGTGTTCATTCTGCTGCGGTGCGAGATCCCGGAGTACGTTCGTATTAGAAGTTCACCCATTAAACCGACAAACATCAAACCACGTGTGGGCGGTTTGTCATGCTGGCCGTTGATTGGAATGCACCAGAATCCTTCTCCGCATTTCACCCAGTCCATAAAATCTCATCATTGAAAGAAGGCTATTATCAGATAAAGTCAGTGTATTCCGATGCGAGGATAGGTCGAGTGAATCGGTGACTTTGGCTGTTGCCAGCACACAGCATGAGAATGTGGAGAACAGAACGTGAACCATTTCGCTAAGTTGAACCACCTACGTTCTCCCCGTTCCATTCATTTGGTTAGTAGAATCACGAACTCTGGAAAAAAGAACAGGAAAAGAGAAATCCCGTTACGTGTATTATTCTTCAATCATTTAGAATCAGTCAACTATTCCATGATTTATTTCTCCATTTTGTATTCTGCTCTCTAGTCCAGATTCCTATCCTTGTTTCTGCTGTTAATTCTGAGATTGTCCTTTTTTGTTGCTGGCGTTGTGACTGTAATTGTTGTTATCGATGCTGCTGCAGCAGCTCTCTCTGTGTGATAGTAGTAGTAGTAGTAGTAGTAGTAGTAGTAGTACAATTGGACATAGGGTTAAAATGACAAAACGATTCATAGTAGTATCGGTAATGGTTGTTATGTTCCCATTGTTATAATTGCTTCAAATTTTCTCGGATGTGGGTATTCCTTGTTGAGATGAAAAATAATAAAGTTCTACTGTATAGAATAATCATCAGTTTATCACGAAGAAATTTCCTTACAATTTTTCATATGACCCATTTCATGGAGAGAAAAACATGTATCGTTGTTACTATAAATATCTTTATTTGGGGGAAATCTATAGCTACTTCTGTGATTGAGATATCGGAATGTAGTTCACTTTTTTCTAGTGAACCACTTAGTTGCCATGGTAAATGCCTCGAGTGTGTCATTGTTGGGTCGGTGTCCTTCCTGACACTAGCCATCCTAAAGAAGATGAAATGGACCGGTTGGCATGACCACTAACCTATCTTTATTTTATGGAAATATACAGTTGAAAAAAACAATGTGGCCCAGTATTCTGGACTTATATCACGTAGCACGCACAAAAATACATTACAGCAGAAACATACCATCATAGTCAATGTATCCGTCTCCGTTCTTATCCACAGACGACATGATGCGTTCAATTTCCTCCGAATTGACAGGGTAACCATTGGCCTCAAGCACATCTCGTATCTCTCTTCTTTCCAGTTTTCCGTTCCCGTCATGATCCATTTTCTAGCAAGGAAAATTGCTCAGACTGAGTCAGGCAAAACAACACCGTTTGCCTCACACACTACTGACAGTCGTTCATCCCAAAATAACACTATGAAGCTTAGAGAGGTATTTATCAAAATATTTCATTATTAACTCCAATTGAAAAACTGAATGATTTGAAAATGTTAAAAACACTGAGGAGGCCATTCACGCGGTCCACGTCACCACTAACTCTAGTCCGTGTTTTAACATCATCACTGTTTTCATTATGTCTGCTACGTAATCCCATATTGACTGTAATCATCGTCAAATATTTCAACCAAAACATTGAGTGAAATAATTATTTTTGATTTGTTAAGTACTAACCCAATTTATCAATGTTTCAGTAAACCAAGCATCTTCTTTAAGAGGTTCAAGGTAACATGTATAAATGGAATCAAAGTATTCACATTGAACACAGTTACTTTTGACTAATGGTGAGCGATAATTGATACTGGTTTGAACTGACCATCGTTCTCGGAATTCACCCTCGCAATAGTCTCAAATTTCACTCTTACTGGAGCTCATCAGTAGTGTATACCCACCGACCGTTCCAGGATTTGAACTTCGGATCCACCAGGCATGGATGGCGTATGTCTTACCACTATATCAACCCGCTCGTGCCAGGACTGAACCAAATTGCCAGTTCAAGTTTGTTCCGGGTGTCGTCTTCAGTGATAGTCAGTTCGAAGAATAATCAGTTCAATTCACTATCAATAATCCCACACCATTACTCACAAGTAACTGTGATCTAGATGCGAATTGTCGATCGATCGTAATAGGTTTGTGGTAAGTCAGCCTTTGACCTGCAAGGAAGTTCTGACTTAGTGGGGGATTTTCGATTGGAATTAGTAAGCTGTACACGCATTGGTGTCGGGCCGAAATGAACGGACTGACCACTTCTAAAGACAACACATGAACAAGTATGAATTGGCACTTCGTTTCAGCCTTGGCATTAGCTGGTTGGCAGAGTTGTAATACAACCCATCCGTGCCCGATGGGTCCGGAGATCAAATTCCGTATGGGACGGTAAATATGCAATACAGATGAGTTCTAATAAGAGCGAAACACCAGTCTAGTACTTCCGAGTGTATGATTGACTAGATGATGTGAGGGTAGTGAATGAAGGTGAAGTCCGAAGGAGAGCGAGTTCAAATAAAAATCACAACAAACCCACATTTTGTGTGTCCAAAAGCCTATGACCTTCCCCGGTTTTAATCAATCATTTGCATCACACACATGTTAAACCTAACTAGATATCCAAGGGGGATTCGCCGTGTATATATGAAACGAGGTGTACAATGAAAACATGGGTAGCACTGGATAGCTATTTTGACCTGGTTCGGTCTCATCAGTAGTGCTCGAATCCGTTGACCTACCTGGGGATCGAACCCGGGACCTCAAAAGTGGAAAGCAAGCATGCTAACCAATCGACCGTTTTTGTTTTTCTATTCATACGATATAGCACAAACCACCATCTTTGCCAGCTTGTTGCGCGCCACGGCTCTTGCTCACCTCAGCACTAGCCTCCAGGGTTATGACTCGGTTAGATTCATTCAAAACCTAACTACTAACTAGATTTGTTCACTTCCATTTCATTTATCTATCTTGTTCAATGTTATACGTATGCGACCGATGATGGAGTATAAAAAACGGTGTCGTCTCGTAGTGTTAGTCTTTCGACTTGCCCGTTCAAAGTATTGACACCAAAAGCCTAACTAGGCAGTTTTGTTTCTTCCATCTGAGGAGGCACAATGTAGCATTAGGCTATGCTGTTCGATTCCGCTGAGACCTTCAAAGTATCGAACTGTAATAAAACCGAACTTGAACAAGTTCAACCGGGTTGAATTGAACCGAAGCGAAAGTATCCATTGGCTTTGTATTAAAGAAAACCAAACACGGTGATTCTTAAGTCCGAGAATCACAATTCTGGCACAATCACCTACCTGAAATGCTTCACGCAATTTGCTCTTTTTCATTGGAGCTCGTCGGCCGTATTGTTTCATAAATTGGCAGAATTCTTCAAATCCAATCTTCTTGCTTTTTCCTGTGTGGCAAATAAATGAACGTTCGGTAAATAACGGTCGGCGACTGTGAATTCCCTGAGAAACACATAGTTAAAACACTAGATTGTAAGTTGACGATGACTTGACGAACTTTTTCCGCAAATAAAGTTTTTCGTGAATATTATTGTGTTGGGTTGCGTGTTGCGTACTTGGCAGTCAGATTATACATTTATCATCATCAGTCGCAAAATAAACCGTGATGAGCGGACGTTTAGGATGCATCAAACAGCTACTTTTAAACAGCTTAGGCTGCAAATCAGGGCAGAGATCAAAAGACTGAATGCTTCCTTCGCAAAGCAAGTTCTGGGAGCTGGAGATGGAAGACGGTTATGGCAATAAATCAGATTGCTGTGTGAACAAAAGAAATGAACAACAAACGAGATTTTCGACGTGGACAGCCTCAATGCTGCATTCATTTATTCTTCAAATGATCTCTCCTCTCCGTACCCCACAGATCACCTATCTGCCATAGACCCGGTCACCCATGAGAAGTTCTGTCATCTTAAAACGACGGAAATCACTAGCGTAGTTGGCCCTGATGGTGTATCTTCGTCTATGCTCAAATATGGCTCTAGCTCAGTTACAGAGATGTTTACGTCCCTTATCAACTAATCCATATGCACATGTTTGATTCCGGATTCTTAGAGACCGTTAACTATTGTTCCAATTGCTCAGTTCTCTTCATCTAGAATTTTATCTGAACGCTTTCTACCTATCGCTATCACCTCCTCTTGACTAAACCTTGCTGAGCGCGCTATTTCCATCCGCTTGGAATCTGGCATTATTGTTAACAATGACTCTCCAGTTTTCGCACAAGCCAAATAGATGCACTTTGGATACCGTCTATTCAATGATCACTTCATTTGCAAATCTTTAGATAATTCTCAAAGTCATTTCGTTGTGTTTCTTCCGCTTTCTATTCCGTTCCACTATCACTTCTTCTGCGAAAGTTACAGTCATTCGGTTGAAAGATTATGTCACAGGAAGGACTCAAAGGACGAAATCAAATGGTACTACTTCAAAGCCATCAGTGAATAATTCTGGAGTCCTTCAGGGTGCTCTGCTCTTTCCCTACTTATTTTCAACTTTCATCAGTGAAGTATCCTCAATCCCAACAGCCAAGACCTTCAAACATGCTGATGATGTGGTCTTATGTCAAGCTATTTCAAACCAATCGCACATAGAATCATTTTTCGACAGTATATTACAAGTGCAATCATTCTCGAACCAATCTGGTCTCCGGTTAAATACTTCTGAATGCTTCTAAATGCATTTGTAGTCTTTCTCGACCCAAATATCCCCTGGAACCCTCAATCATCAATTCCGTACCCGTCACCAAAACGCATATCATAAATACCTAGGAGTC